CAGGAATATTCCAGTAAAATAGTTCTAAACAAACAGGAAAAAATAGTTTCCTTTCAATCGATAGTCACTTTATTTGCATCTGAAAGGCAAACAAATGGTTATGTGTAAAACTCAGGTGCCTAATAGATTTACCCAGTTTGTTTTTTAAAGATTTTCAAATGATAGAAAATTAAAAGGCAACCCCAAAAGAGTGAGAAAACAATAGAGGAAGGGAGAAAGAGAAATTTTGTTCTGAGGGAAAGAAAAGAGAGGATCTCTTCCAGGATTTAATAATGTAGTGAACATCTTGTTAAAATGATAAATTCTGAGTAAATTACACAGAACACACTAAAAATACAGATTTGAGTCAGCTTGATCAAAATAAACCTCAGACATTTCATTTGCTTTTTCCTTTTATGGGCAGATTCTAGACCTTTGGAGCACATGCTTTATTACAGCCAAACCCTTTGAAGCATGAACAAAATGATGAGTTTATTTAAAATAGGGCCTCAGTCCAATGAACCACTTGACTTATGTCAGAAAGGACAAACCACCACCTCAGAGAACTATATCACCAGTTAAGTCAGTCCTCCTAAACTATCTGTGTCATGAACTACTGACTTTTTCCATCCAGGTTTCAGTGATTGCATTGCTGTGGCACAAGAAAAGCTAAGGGAGGTAGGGGGAGAAGCAGAAAATAGTGAAATTTAGAAGAGGTGCTGAATTCATATTCAATTGCCCACAGACAAGGCTATCAGCACAGAAGGAATGCCTAATATCCTAAGTTCCTGTTGACCACTTGAAGCTTGCAGAAGTAGTAGTCATATACTAAAGTACAGGCTTTGAAGAGAAAGGAGGCCTGGGGCTGAGGTCTGGAACAAACTCCTAGTCTGACAGGGACTTTTTAAGAACCTGGGCAAGCAGCTGCACTGCCAGCATGTCACATTCGCACCCACAGGACACTTTTTTTTTTCCTCCCAGATTTTTTTTCTTCTGCCTCAACTTTAAGTGCTTGGGGTCAGGCCCAAGCTTCCCTAACAGCACGAAGCACAATGAGACCTTGATCTTAGTGGGGACTGCTAGGGAATACAAGCAGTAAAAAAATAATGATGTCAGCATTTCAGTGCAGGATGTGGAGCTGCTTCAGAGAACTGCAGTTACAAGGCAGCACAGAGAGCTGTACTCAAAACTGAGAAGAGGACAGTGTGGAATGGAAACAGAAATTACTAGGCTACAGAAACACTAAATTTATTTGCACTTTTTGAGGTTCAAATCTGAAACTTGGCAGCACTGAAAAGGAGTTGCCAGGCAAATCTCTACTGAGGAGCAACGTGCAAGCAAGTCCAATCCTTTTGGGAAGCATCTGCACTACAGAGTGAGCACTGTATACTCTGTCTGCATCCGCCTACTAGCTCTAACACATTCTGGATGTGCCAGACTTGTTGCACATGCACTGTACAATTCCTTCCCTGTGCAAGCAGGAAATTCAGCCTATTCTGAGCATGACGGACTTTCGCTCATGCGGCACACGTACGTAAGAGCTGATGTCTCCTGTCAGAGCCAGAGTCACCGAGTTTGTACGGCACAGCCAACCCATAACTGTGCAGTGAACACATCTGACATTTCTGCACAGCTGTAAATCTTGTAAAAATTTCTGAGGAGAAGGCTGTGTACTTTACAGAAAGCCTGTCCCTGGAATTTTGTGAAGTGTTATTGTACCTATCTGATACCAATCAAAAAAACCTGCAAAACTGAGAGATGGCCTACTCCTGTAAACTGGAAACGCACTTCCTACTGAAAAATACTTGTCAGCTGAGATCTTGGAACAGTATTCTGTTTTTTGGAGAGCTGCCAAGCATATATTGCATGCAAAACTAACATCCAAAACCATGCAAAGTCCACAGCTGCTAAGATGCTGAAATGCACTTGATCATTAATCCTGTCACACCCCGCCCAAAAATCAACAACTCTAACCTCTTCTACTAGAGTCCAAAATGGACAGCTCGACCTCTGGAAAAAAAAAAAGAAATCAGACAAAAAAAATCATAGTATTAGTTAGTGTGACAGATGCTGAAATATTTAGGTAGTCAGCATTTAAGCAAACTGAAGTTTAAGCACAAAACGTTAAGACCGTAATACCTGGATTGAGGATCTGAACAAGAACTACTTATACAGCTAATCTTAAAAGGTAAAACCAGGTGGTGTTTAAGTTAATTCTAGAGAGGCTAAATGTTAGAAAACCAATTTCCATTTTGCTTTTGTTCGAGCTGTTAAATACTGGATTTGCTCCCAGGTACCAGGCAACAAAACATGCTATCTTTCTATCAACAGTTCAGTAGTCTCTTCTACTACTACATCCCTAGCAGTTTTAACATATACTCTCACTCTTAACAAGACCAGATTTGAAAATATGCCTATGTTCTGGTAAGTTTCAGTGAAGCTTGGTTTTATAAATATGAGACCAAGTATGCAGGATTGCAGCTAGTGAAGTCATAGAAGCAGAAGATCTATGGTGTGCATGTGCCACGAGGTTTTCTTTGCCAATATGTGCATTAAAATCTTGGACTTGAATTACATTATAGAATTACTCAATCTTGGGACAGAGCTATAAAATTTGTCTTTACTGTCTTACTGAGCATCATCACTAGGTGAACAGTCAACAGCTAAGCAAAAGGACTGAATTACCCTCAAGTGAGGTGATATTTCCTTCCATTGATTTTAAACAATTTCCTAAACAGTTCTTACCTAGATACAAGAACTAGCTTCCTCACATAACTTCCCAATAGGAAAGATAAAGTCCCTTCTGTTTTATGATCAACTCAAGAAGGGTTATATAGTCAGCCTGTAAACAGTCTTATGTGGGCAATCATACACAATCACACTCTTACTTCATTTAGAAAGTTGAAGTAACTTTCTTGTTTTTACAGGATGTGTCACATTGCTTTAAGGATAACTTAGAGAAAATGTCTTCACTCCTCTTTTGGTTTAGTTTTCTTATTTTTTTAATTTTAATCCCCCAAACATGTAACATGTATTACCTGATTTAAAAAGTGTGATATTTCTATTCTTGTGCATTACAGAAGAATCAAATAAGTGAGTTAAAAATATCATCTTGGTTCATCCATTTCTTAACACACCTGCTGTTCTCCATTTCAGTCGCAAACTCTTCCAGGTCAAAATTGAAATCATTACTAGAGAAACCAGAATGATGAAGACATTGAGCTGCCAGTTTCTAATGCAGCCTTACCAAGTTACTGTCAATCAGTGACTGTAATTTAAAAAAAAAAAGCACACAACGCTAAAGAAATATTAAGAACAATTATCTTGTGTCCAATTGGAACGTTAGACCTCTAGACAGAAGGGTTCATTCCTTGCAGCCTGCCAACATTTTAGTAAATGACACTGGCCCTTTAACAGATGGGATACATGCTTCTTAGCTTGCCAGGATCCTAATAAAAGACACTGGCTTCTTTAAAATGAAGGACACATACCTCTCAAATTGCCAGTATCCAAATTGGGAGTCAGCAGTTTAAAATAAAGGCACTCATCAATCTGGCAAAATCAAGGCCACTGCCCAGAAATTTTAAAACAAATGGTACAAAGTTTCTCCTGACACTACTTAACTTAGATGAACTAAATACTTAAACACTGGCAAAGCATATCCAGTAGCAGCACTGCAGCAACTGGATACCTTAGTACCTTCTAAACCAGTAAATATTAGCAGGAGGCTTCAAAGGCTGGGGTTTGAATTTTTTTCTTCTTCTCATGAAACCCATTAGCTACCACTTATATGGCTGACCACACACTGCACGACTCACATGAAAGCTGGGGTCTTTTCCTGGGGCACTGACCAGCACCACAAAGACCCTGCCTGGCCTAAAGGAACCGTATCTGCTTCTGTTCCATCTCCCAGGAGCAGAATGCTCCAGTGAAGGAAAGAGACCTCTGAAAGCTTTCCCTGTGCTCTCACAAACCCGTAGTACTACAAATTGGAAAGTTTTACAGTAACTGCTGACATGTGAGAGCCAACAAGTAAGGGTTCTTTAACTCTTCTGACAGCAGCCATCAGAGGGAAACAAAGACCTTCTTCAGCTACCATGAAGTGTATCTATGTGGATGAGTTGGGGAAAGGGAGTGAGCGCTTTGCTGAATCTTGTCAGCACTTACAAACTGTCCCAAACTCCTGAAGGGCAGATACAGGGGAGAGCAGAAAACAATACATTTTCTTTGTATGGAAAGATAATGAAGTTGTTAAGACTGGGCATGAAAAAAGGATTATTTTAGGAATGGAACAGAGAATTGGTCTTATTCACATCAGTGGTTGCTTTCATTTCAGTCTCAGAGCCTTACCTTAGAAATACAGCAACTCACAGATGGAACACATCCAGCTTCTTGCCTTGCCCATTTCACCACTCCATTGCTTGCAGACCCCTAACTTTTCAGACTGATACTAACCATTTGAACCTGCTTTCTTCCTGATATCTCTTGGCATACTCGGCATTTGTTGAGTAGATATTTCTACAACATGTAGCTAACCAGTAAATGCTGTGCAGAAAAGAACATACCTAAGTACAAAAACTACCATTTGATGGCACAGTCAGCTGAAGCCAAAGAAGTCTGAAGTGCTGCAAAAACACAGCAGTGGCTGTCAGGGCAGAAGGGAGGAGGTTCTTGCTTTAGAGAAGCAGAGGAAAAAAAAACTACCAAGTCAGATGGTCTTGGGAACGGTCAGGGTGAAACAGGTTTTGAAGGAATTGATCTTCACCGCTTAGTTGGAATCTGAATAGCAGCTGCCACAGTGAAGTGCACAGAAACTGCAGGAGACAGACACACTCCTGTCATACAGCAGCCCTGACTTGGCCAGGACACCAGCCTAAAGCTTTGCATTGCCTGGACCTGACTGCCAGCGGGCATGGTCTGGGACACCTCCAGCCAGGCTGGCTGGCTGTCCCTTCAAAAGATCCCTTGCTTTTAAGTTTTTCATCTGATGAACAAAGACGCTGCAACCATTTACTCACCTTTCACGTTCATCTTTCATTTTCTCCAGCTCCTCCTCTTTAAGCATGGCTTGTTTTGGATTCCCCTTCTGATCTGTTTTTCCACTTTTATCTTCTTTTTTCTTGCCAAATCTGTTTAAGATATCAAGGAAGGAGTCAGGAGGAAATAATTACTAGAAGAAAAAACAATACCTATCTGTCATAAACCATACAAATTTTGGGCAATCAAAACCTGGGAGTTTTTGTCTTAATCACTCATGAATTTCCCACATCACAAAATAAATCCCCAGTATTAAACTGGCCATATGCAATAGGACGGACTGGTTACAACGTGATTTGAACCCAGTACTTTTGAAAGCTGTTGCTTGAAACAAAGTTGAAAAGCCCCATCAAACCTGAAATGCAAGGCACCGAAGGGCTGGACTATTAATAAAGCGCATTTTGAAGTGGCTGAAGGCTCTTAGCACAGGACAGCTCTCTGAAAGTGATCTGCAGCAGCTGTGTTGTGAGCACACAGACCTGACCACATGTTCTGCTCTTATTAGTAATTATTGTCTCTCATTCAAGTATGGCCTTAATTTAAGAATTTGTTCTCTGTTTAAATGAGGACTCAATCAAAATAATGAAATCTTGCTGTATTTTGAGTGTGCAAAAGTAGATAGTTTATTAGAGCTCTTTTTTAAAGTACTTCTGGGTTTTTCCTTCGGTCTAGTAATACACTCTCATGTAAGATTTATGCTGTGAAAGCCCTCCAGAGATCCAAATTATCTAGGGGTCTCACTGTTCTACACACTGTACAAATATCACAGAATGGTTTGGGTTGGAAGGGACCTCGAAGATCATCCGGTTCCAACCTCCCTGTTGGTACCCTTCAGGTACTGGAAGGCCGCTATAAGGTCTCCCTGGAGCCTTCTCCTCTCCAGGCTCAACAGCCCCAACTCTCTCAGCCTGTCCTCGCAGGGGAGGTGCTCCAGCCCCCTGACCACCTTTGTGGCCCTTTTCTGGACTCATTCCAACAGGTTCAAGCATGACATGAGTCTCTTTTATGCAGCCTGTAAAAAGCAATAGAATAGGGGAGCTACATCTCATTTCTGATGGAGCTAGATAGAATAGTGGGGTCAAGTATGCGAAACACGAACATGAATTACGAGCCAAAAAGTACAATAAATTGACCCCCTCTTGCTCAATTTGAAATTCTCAGGTCCGCAAGTAAATGATCAATCAGCGTCTTCCCAAGCAAATTAATATGTCCTTGCATGTATGACAACAATGTAAACAAAAGTAATGATTTCTTCATTAACTATATCACATTGCAAACTAATTACTACGACTCAAATTTGTGAAAGTCTGTAGCATTGCCTTGGTGATCTTTCTTTGAGCCTCTTTTTCTTGTCAGTCCAAACTGCCTCAAGTGGAATAGCTGAACTACTGTGCATATCCTTTAGCCGCATTTATCAGCTGTAAATCATTGACTTCAGGTTTCTCCGCTGACAAAAGCAAAAATCTTGCAAATACTCTGTCAGGCTAATAAGTTAATGATGCAATTTTTTTGTGGATTTCATCAATAATTCTGAGCTTGTAGGCAAGTAAGGTCTTAGGGACTCTGCAGTAAGTCTTCTAGACAGTAAGAATTTGCTTAGAAAGGGAGTGACAGGCCTGAGACACTCATGTAACATTTGGTGCCAATGAGAAAACGTGCGAATACTACAGGTAATAACAGGAGATACTTTACTGCGGCTCTGCCACGAGACTGTCCTGGGAAGTAGGAAGAGTCTAATCTCAGTGCAGGGTTTTCTCCTTTTTTCTCATGTGTGGCAATAAAGATGTCCCTTTGATCAAAATATGCCTTCAGCTCATCTACAAACAACCTTCAATTCTTTTTTTATGGTCCCTGCTCATTTCAAGGCTTCCAGAAAGACAACAGATGCTTTCCATGCTTTTCCCGAGTACAGAGCAGCATGCTGATTCCACTCCTGCCCTCCGAGTTCCAGCAGCCCCAGGAGACTGTAGAGCCACAAACCTCGTCAGAGAGGGGTGGTGGTGGCACTGAAGGCATCAGTTGGGAAACACTCGGGAGAGGTGGAGGTTGTACGTACAGAGGAGATTCAAAGTGTGAAGGGCTCACAGATACGAGACGACTCAGGTGAAGAAGTAATGCTGGAGTAATGCTGGATGAAACTCTGCATACATCGAGCTCCACAGAACTGCCAGGCAGCCAAACAACAAATAGCCCGGGGCTGAGCCCCAGCGGGCTGCACCTGAAACACCCCGGCTTCCTAACACTTGCACATGCTGGGAAGGTCTCACGGCAGTTTTCTCAAGAGACACTGGATTAGCACTTGCATCTTGGTCATGATCCAACTCCAGTACTTTGTTTATATTCAGGCTGCCTGCGTTTCTCCCACAGTTTCAATTATAGTTTTGTGGAGTCTCATATTTGACTGTAGTATGTATTGATTTTGAAAATATTATTCTCAGGCATTTTGTATTGCTGCAGGGAGTTGAAGTAGGATATGTTGTATACTCAAGAGAAATGTAAAAAAAAATAAATCTTTAACATACATCCCTTTCAAGTCTAGGTATTATTTCTTGCTTACTGGTGAAATACATCTTAAATAAAATAAAGTGACAATTTTGATTGTAATAACTGCCAATACAACAACTTTCAGCAAAAATAGTGCTGTTTACTGGTGGAGCTGCTCTTGCCATAAAATTGGCAAGTTCCGGTGTAATTATAAATATGGAATAGTGAGTTGGTGTGATGAAAACAACTTTCGGTGTTTTAACTTTCGGGGATTTTTTTAGTTATTTTTGGCCCCAGATGAGTATACAGCATATAGCTCCAGGCTAGGGAAATATTCAGATTTTTGGCCTCTTCTGCATATTGCTAAACCATAAAAACCCATTCTCTTTTACTATTATTGTAATATGTTTTTTAGCTCAACAAAAATCTTGCAAACATTAAAAAAATAAAAGCAGTAAAAATGTGACACTTAAGAAATGCAGTAGACAGCATTAAATCACAAAAAAAGCCCAGTATCACCTCTGCCTGAATTTATACATTCTGTCCTAAAATTTATGCTCTGCTTACTGATGTGTTCTAATTACCATAGGCTTCCAATGATAAAATTAACTTCCACCCATTACAATTTTGCATGGGTTTCTGCGCTACAGGCTTGATGGTTCTCTACTACTTACAGGAACAAAAAACCCAACCAAACAAGAAGAGCACCTGCCACCCAACTGGGTTTGATCATGTTCTCATTGGTATCAGTGTGAGGCCCTCCACTGACTGCAACAAGGACAGGATAAAAATCTAACATCAAAATTATGCTATGGAATAAACCAAACCCGTATTAAAATTCTGTGAAAACTGAATGGCTTTAGGGTTGGAAGTTTCCAATTCTCCAGGCAACAAATAAGGGGACTGTGGTAAAATCTGCATTACATACTAATACTACTGTCAGAGAAATAAAAACACTAATGAAAAAATGTATGGCACGTCATTTTTTTTAAAGGCTGGTTTGCTATACTGTGCACAGCTAAGTTCTCTTCACCTGATGGAACTGTTGCTTTTAGAACCTTATGTAGCAAATTGAAAAATATAACTAGAAGACATGAAAACAAATGTACTAGCTGTACCTGCTCATTCTATATCTATCTTTAATCAATTTATGTCAAATGAAGCCACTTGTAATCATAACGACAAGTAATCTGTATCTTCCAAGGCTGAGTGACTACCCCAGTTCTCTGATTATCCACTGTAAATGTCTGGGAAGTACTGTTAAAGAAGTTAAAGCCCTAATAACCTTAGTATACTTTTCAGCTGAGAAAATTAATACTGTAACTTCTCAGAGCATAGTCCCTCTGTAAACCAAAGGGTAAAGGGATTTTCTTTATGTGATCAGATTTCTGAGCCTTTCATCCTTACGGGAAAAGCCCATATGCAACAGTTGAAAACATGTTGTGCAGGAGTGAGGAATTATCCTATTTCTATGAATTTCAACGGGTCCTAAAATTTTTGCCCTTAGAAGCACCAAGTGTGTGTCTTGTCTTCTGGCCGTATTTACTACCGTTCTATTGGCTACAGCATTAAAGCATACACATGCTTCTTTTCAAGGCTTCTAAGGGATAAAAATTAAAACAAACCTCCTATAGCCCTGCTCTGTTATACTTGGGATAAATGTCTCACATGCAAGACCTAAAGCTGTGGTCATGGCAACACTTCATTTCCGTGTGGAGCCATGAGCTTCCAGATCTCAAATGTGTTGATATTTGCTTCAAGGATTAAAAAGCAGGCAGGTCTATAAAGTCCCTGACTTCTACGCAGGAGAAACATCTGGTGGGTGAAACCCTAAGCGGCTTGCTGACTAAATTCAGCAATTCGAATTTCTTAGTTAATTCAGTTGCCCTAGATCAGTAGGTGTCAGTGCAGCTAACAGGGTACGTAATGGAATTGCAAACATCTGTGGGGAAATAATTCAAGAGGGCCTACGACACAGTCAAGCAAGATACAAAGCCTAACAATGTCATAAAATCTTGACATCTCCAGAAATGATCTGTAAAAAGCCAGAGTGATTTGTAAAGTACATAACAAAAGCTCTGACTCCTAGTCATTTCACAGTGAATGGGGAAAACCACCGAGATTATTAAAGCAGCTCCCTTATGAAAGCCTAGAAATAACCCTTAGAATTAAATTTAAATGTGAGTAAGAATGAATGAGTGAGCAAAAAAGATAAAGATACTAATAAGGTATGATTTTCAGGTCCACACAGGGACTATAAAAAGCTTATTAACTGCCACTACTGCTGTGTGTTTTAAGTTATTTTATCACTCAGCTTTACAGCAAAAGAAATACTCTAGAAGCAGCACCCTGCTTTGATTAATCACTTTCATACATACACTTTTACAGAGTATTAAACATTGCCTGAGTGAATCAGACTTGTTGGTGATTACAGGCCAGGATCATTTTACATTTGTGTTAATGGAAGCATTAATGAAATACATCTTTTACGTTTTTAGTGACTCTCTAAATACCTAAAAGGTTTGTTATTAAATGTTTACTTATTGAGCAGAAGTATGTCACCGAGCATTACACCAGTGGGACCAAGAGCTTTGCAACAGAACACGTT